TACTTCCTTGCTTAACCCTGTATAGCCACGTTGCTTAGAAAAAAGAAAACCACCTGGAAACCCTAAACCAGGAGATTCTCTTTTTCTTCAGAAGAGCACTGCACCGGGGAGATGTACCGTGGAGGTGTGCGCTTCACGGTACATCATTATTATGAATAACTCTGGAAATGCTCTTCTGGTGGAATTTGCGGTGTCACCCATTTCTCAGCGGCTGTCGCCTGGCCGAGATCCTCGAGGGGAGCAGCGCTGGCTCGGGGCAGTGCAGGCTCCATCCCGTGCTATTTCACAGTGGCACTTCGTAGCGCAGTAATTAAATTGTGCTGTTGTCCCTCGCTGAATAGAAAAAGACAAGGTGAAGTTGATCTTTTTCTTCATTTCAGTGTCTTTTACTGTTTTTTTTATATTTTGCCTTTTTTTTAAATACTAAGCTTTAGGGCTTTTAAATATCCTCTAGTGTTTTCCGAAGTTAGGGTCTAGAGCCATTTCCTTTCCTTATTTTTGCCCAAAGTCTTAGAAATGCATAAACAAAAAACTATTTTAAATCAAGTGAGTTATGTGGTGAGTATTGCTAAAAATCTGTTTTAGGCATATTTTGCAATTTCAAATATTCTCCTGCTGTTTCAGAGAACGTCATGGACAAGAATTTAACTGTAAAAGTACACTAAAAAAAACGATGCGATCACAGTTTAAGAAATTATTTAAACTGCTCTTGCCATTTGCTTAGGTCCTCAGAAAAGATCTTGCTCTTAATTAACGAAAACGCAGTATTTCTGGATGAAGGCCACTCCATTTAGGCAGCCTTTTCTCAGGGAGACTGCGCATGGCACCTCTTCTCAGAGGTGGATCTGCTCAGTGCCTCACTCCTCCTAGACTGTTCAGACTTTGGGCAGCTGTAGGAGACCTTGTAATAATAATAATGATAATAATAATAATAATGATGATGGAGATATTATTATTATTATAATATTATAGTATTGTTATCATTATATTATTACCATTATTATTACCATTATTATTATTATTATTATTATTATTATTATTATTATTATTATTATTATTAGTAGTAGTAGTATTAATTATTATTATTATTATTATTTTAATAATAATAATAATAATGATGATGATGATGTAGTACGAACATTATGTCCAAGCCAGGCCAGTGTCTTTAGGAGTGTGCCCGCCTTTTGTTGTGAAACCACGGGTCGCTTTTCTGGGAGAGACGCGAACAGGGCGGAAGGTGCCCGTGCAGTTCAGAGTGAGAAATGATTGCGTTTTCCCGCGCCTAGAAAATGCCCGCCGGTGAGTTCGGAACCGGGGAGGTGCCGCTGGGACCCTGCCCCCCTCAAAGATGGACCGGCCGCAGCAAGTCCTCCCAGCAGGTCCCAGTGCGCGTGGTCCCCGCAGGTCGCAAGCTGGGCGGCGCGCTCCGGCGAGGGGCCGATCCGGTGTCCGGAGTGGGGCTGGGTGCCTGGGGGGGGGGGGGGGGGGCTGGGATCGGAGCGTTTGGGGGGCAGCCGGCGTGGGTCCGGCTGAGCGGGGGGCACGGGCGCTCCCCGGGGCAGGTCGGGGTGCGGGGGGGCTGCTTCTGGCCTCGCGCTGGGAGGGAAGCGCGTTGTGCCCGGGGTGGTGCGGAGAGCCACGGTCTAACAGCTCTGCCTTGTCCTGTCTGCTAGAGGCAGGGGGTGAAAAACGTGTGGGAGAAAACGTCCTCTTTTGCCTTAAGGAGAGTATTATATCTGTGCTCTTCATTAGCATTTCTGGAAAGATGCCATTGGACTGGGAACTAATTGTTTTGCAGAGTAGGTAGGTACACACGTAGTGCTACTGTCAACAAAACATAACCCTCCTAGGTGGATGCATTGATTATATGAAAAATGTTTTTACCACTCCCTGGAGCCTATTTATAACCCAAAATGTTTCAAACCTGCCAACAGTATTTTAATTATCGAAGATATTCTAGTGTATTCAAACAATGCATAATGCTAATGGTAATTATCTCACATTTATATAATGTCTAACAGCCAAATGCATCCCAAAGACCTTCACGAACTTTCAGGAGCCATGTGCGCTGTGTAGAAAGTCCTTTACGGGCGCAGTGAAATCCAGCACTTACCTGCAATTGGTCTGACGTTGGGAAACACGGTGCAAAAGAACGAGCTATCCCTTTGTTTACGGGGTGTGGCGAGGGAGCGGTAACGAAGGCGAGTGAGGTTCAGGTGGTTCCCAGGCTCCTCTCACAACGGTGATGGATGTTCTGGGCAGTGACGGCCGTGCCGGGGATCCCAGCCCTGCCCGGGTCCTTCCCAGGCAGCGAACCCCACATGCGTTGCTCCTTCGTCCCAGCACAGCCTAGCTGCACTGGGGAGCGCGTCTCCGGCCGTACCGGACCCTGACCCCGATCCCCACCGCTGCCTCCATGCGATTTCATCCCCTGCCAGGTCGCCCGACCCCGTGCAGCAGGGCACATCATCCGCTGGCTCCGGGTTTCTCCAGGACGGTGTTTGCCTGCGGATTCCCCATGCAGAGGGAGATCTCCTCCTCTCCCTCCTGTTTCTCGGGATGCTGCGGCGGCAGGCGCCCGGGACGTCCCCCACCTCGCTGCCCCTTGGGGAAGGGCAGCTGGGGATGGAGGCGGCTGAGCCGGCGCCGCGGGCACGGGGTGATGCCTCTGTCTGTTCCCATCCCGAGCCGCCCCTCCAGGCATCCTGCTCCTGGATCCGGGGTGGGTCCCCAGCTCCCAGCCCACCCCCGGGGCCTGTCCCCAGCCGAGGATGCTGCGCCAGGCTTCCTCTTCGCCTGGCTCCTCTTCCTCGACGTGTTCGCCCCCTCAAAAATCCAGAGCCGCGCTCCGTAGCAAAAGTGCTGCTGGTGAAACGCGGGTCAGCTGCTCCGTATTTCAATACGATGGGGTCTCAATATACACCTGATCTCTGGGTGTGTAAACAACGCGCAAACTGCACCGGCATCGCCAAGAACATTTTTCAGGTCATGCCACGTCTTGGATCATTTCATTCCCTTTCATCACCCCCTTTAGACCAAAACTGCATAAAGCTTTAACTTTGATGCCAAATTGTGAATAACATTAGTTTAACCTGAAATTTAAAGGCAGCGTTTCCGTGCTCCAGAGACAGGGTCTCCCCGGCCTTTTGCTACCATGCAGCTAGCAACCAGAATTTTAATTTTATAAGCCATGGTTGACTAAACCCAGCACTAGGTCTATTAGATATTATTTGATTTAGAATAGTAAAAAAAAAAAAAAAAAAAAAAAGATTTAAAGATACACTGCTTTCTTATATCCCTTTGTATTTTTTCACAGCTCTGTGCACACGCTTAGGCTTTCCATTCAGAGGACAGGTTCAGGGTTTTTTTCCTGTGTGGAATAAACTGATCCTTGCACTTTGCAAAAGCCAGTATTGTCTACTCTTGATTCAGGTTGCACAACTTTGTCTAAACAGGTAAATATGAATCTGTTGTTGCCTAAGTTGCTGAACTAAAATTTAGAAGGAAGTTTCCAGCATTTACTGCTAACATCAAATGCTTGTTCAGTGTGAGTGGTTTCTTACAGAGAGCGATCTGGGTTGAAAAAGTATTTCCGTGTGTCGGTCCCCCAGTTTGAGAGATCTGTCTTAAAGCAGCCTCGTTTTCTGGATACACAGCGTTTTCTGCAAAATCCGGGAGGATTTTGCTGAAGGATGATACCAGATCAACGGTTCTTTGTGAAAAATCATGTCAATGGGGCATCACCCATGTTACTGGTGGCCAGCACATGCCTGGGGACACAACTGGTCTCTACAGCAGCAGGGCATCTTCACACAGATCGCCTCTGATCCTTGCTGTCAAAAAACTTGATGCAGAATCTACCAGGAAAGGTCTGAGTGATGCCGTTTGCCTGCATGCCACTTGGAAAGTGAGCCTCTGCAACACTCATGAAAATCTTGTTGTTAAGGGTGCATTTGAATTCTGCTCCTCAAAACTATGTTGGCAGCAAGACTCTATTTTTAAAATGTTTCCTCCCTCTGTCTAGTGCAGTGTTGCCATCTGGAGAAGAAATCTGATATTTACTGTTGTTCTTGGAGTTCCACCTCCTGGAGTCCTGGGAATACTGCAGACCTCAGCTTTCGGCGCATAAAAGATACATTTCTAGTACTGACAGGTGAAGGAAAAGTAGGAAACCACTGTGAATCTGCAAAAAGCAAATTGAAACAAGCCCCTGTATTGCAGGAGTCTTTTCAAACTGCCAGTCTAAACATTTCTCAAAACTTGTCTCACGGCGTTCCAGCCACGGGCAGTCACTTACGACTTCTGCTGAAAATCTCTGGCGAAGGGGAGAGAGAGGAGATCACGCCTTGGAGCCCAGGCTTTCGCCATGCCAATAAGCTTAAGAAAGGCAAAGTGAAATTGCAGTGGCAGGAGAGTGCACGGGCTCAGGGCCTGCCGAGGGTGTTGCAGTGGTGACCGTGAGCTGGGGGGATGTCCTGTCTCAGCACAGTGGCAGTGCTGCCGCTGTCTTGGAGGTTGTGTCCCCACTTCCCGCGGCGGAACGGGATGGGGCTGAGCCAGACTCGGAGGTGCCGCAGGGAGGGGGGCGAAGCGTCGGGGCGGTGGCTGGGCAGAGGGGATCTGCTGGAGCTGACCCAGCAGATTGTGGTGCAGTTAAACCCCACCACGTCCTCCTCGCACCCAGGCCACCGACCAGGAGGGTTCTCAGGCGGTGCAGTGAAACGGACGCGAGCAAGGAGGTGACCGTTATCCTTTGTCCTGCCTTTAAATTGCGTGTGAAACCACCGAGGGTAAATCACGTTGAGGGTTGGCTGTAATGGAAGATTGGTCACTGCATCTTCTGGCAGTATGTGTCTTGCTTGTAACCTCCCCTCAAGGAGTCTTCACGGTGTGAGCATACTGGTGCCCTCATCTATGCAAGGGATAAAATGAGAGTCTCCTCGGCAGGTCTCGTCGTTGCGATACCTACTTATCTCCGTCTTCTCTCTCCTCTTTGAAAGGTATCCAGGAGTCTCCAGTACCAAATGGCCATTCTCTCCCAGGAAGAGATTTTCTTCGGAAACAGATGCGAGGAGACCTTTTCACCCAGCAGCAACTAGAGGTGTTGGATCGAGTCTTCGAGAGGCAACATTATTCTGACATTTTCACAACAACTGAGCCCATCAAACCGGAGCAGGTACTATTGCAAATGTTCAGTGTTTTCCTGATGCTGATTGTGCTGGCAGGGATCTGCTTGGTGGGACACCACCAAACACTTCTCAGAGTCTCAGTAGAAAAGCACGGAGAAACATGTGTCGTATCAAGCTCTTTGGCCAAAGGCACATTAGCCATAAAAGACTGAGTGTTAAAAAATGAAGGAAGACACTTCTTGTGTAAACACGAGACAGTGTTTATGTATGAAATTGCACCCAATATCTGGGCCACTGGCATCAAATGAGTCCTTAAAGAACGTCACAGCTTCTGATGCTTTTGTTAGATCAAAAGCAGGCTATGCAGGTAGCAAGTAGAAGACTAGCAAAACTCAATGGCTAGTTTTGGTTCATAGTTAGCATGATTGTGCACACAAATTACATTTTTGTATCCAGAAATGGCTTATTAGGCATGTAATTGGCCATTTGCTGAGAGAAACACCCAATTAGTATGTGAAGGTAAATTAGTTGCACCCACAGATTAGCAGCATGTTTGAGAAGGACTTGGCACTAATTTTTTGGGAAAGTTCCATTTTTGCAGGCACAGTGCAGAAGCACGTGCTGAAACTGATGAGCTGTGTCTCTCTGTGTTCTTCTTCTTCCTGGGCGGCAGCCTTTAATTCAGGTGCTGAGAGGGAGGTGGAAATGCATATATTGCTGTCAGCACCAATATCGGTCTAGCTTGCTACTTAATGATGTATTTGGCCGTTAATCTCCAGTGTTCTTAATATTAGATATTTAACAAGGTGGATGGACTTTCAAACTGCAGACCAACACTGATTTCCCTGAGAGGAATCTATACATTTGAGGGCCACTGGAGATTATCTCATTGTGGGCTACTACCGTTGTGGCTCCAGTTTGAGGAATATGTATTGGTCTAAATTTTTTGAAAAAATTACTTTCGCTGAAAGTCATAGGGTAGAGTAGAAATTTCTTGTGCCTTTATGCTTACATCTGCCGTTTGCTATTTCATTCATAGAGCCGTTTGTTTTTCACCAGCTTTGGCTGGTTTTGTGGTTTCCCTGGTTTGTATCCGCTGAGAGGCTCTGCAGTTCTGAACTCAAGCTGGAAAAACACGGGGAAGATGCTGTGGTGCCTTTGATTTTTTAAAAAAACTCTTTAGGAAAGCCGAGCGGGCGGTCTCTGGAAGGTGAAATGGCCTTCACGTACCACTAGATGGTGGTTATCCCATCCAAACACGGGTGGTACCGGAGAGGGCAGGCGCTGCGCCCACTCCTACGGGAAGCCTTTTCAGTGTTGGTCACGCAGAAGCTGTGTGGCGTTAGATCTGCCCCTGCGAAACTTTTATTCCCCAAGGAAGACTTTACAAAGATGGGCAGTGGTGGAAGGGGGGTTGTCTGTTCGTTTGGGTCTTCTGGAGTCTCTGAGTCATGCAGAACTGTAGCTCAAGGGAGGCAGTCCAGCAGCGAGTGAACGTTTACCAGCTTATGATAAACTTTTACTGGCTTAATAGGAAGAATGGGAGAATTGAATGAGGATGTTGCTGAAGTGTTATCCCGATTGTCAGATACGGGCTTATTTGGCTGTGGGTGGAGCAAGGATCTCCCAGGGTCCACGTAAGCAACCGTGACTACAGTGGCTGTGCATCCAGATTATTAAGATTGGGGATACGCTGCTACTAATTTGGTTGTCAGGGTACTCTCTGCATGCTCTGGGAAGTCAGATAGATGCTGAGAATTGTGATATTATGATGTACAAAAGGTGCTTAGCAGAACCGCCTTGCCTAGGCATTTTTAAGTTTAATTACACACGGAATTGGCAGTTGTTTGCTTTCATATAGGTTGGAGCTTTGTGGTTTGCTTGCGGAAGGCTGGGCCATGGGTAGGGGCTCGCGGCTCTTTGGGGTTGGCTTCTGCTTTTTGGTGGCGTGTGAAGTGTAGGTTTCAACATGAAAGCGTGTGGTCTGTACGATTAGCTCTGGTTCACGAGGATGCGGTGTGAACTCGACCACTTACCGACGCAGCCGTGAGCCATGCTTTACCTCCTTGGTGAGTCAAGCAAAGCTGTCATGATACTTAACCAAAGCAGAAAAGCTGTCTGGATCAATTAGTGAGGCCAGATAAATCAATGAGAAAGAAAATACTGAGAACGTTAATGATGTGACTTGGAAAACCAGTGTTGTGCCTGCTATAGATTGATGTAATAAACCAAGACCTGCCTCTGGCATCTGCTGCTGAGCCCAGGTGCGGTGCTTTAGAAGCTCGGTCGGCAGTGGGTGCATGGAGTCCTGAGCGTTTTCTCTAGAGGAAAATGAGAAGATGCTCTTCCCCGTAGAGATGGGATTTGTGGGGAAGTCTAGTAGGAGCTGCTGACCCACTGCTTATCTGTTTTATTAGAAACTTGGTCCAGTAGCATCCAGCTGAATATCACTAATTTTACTTGGGCACAAAAGCTTCTTGATGTCCCCGTGCTGTTCACCTGGGGAGGGCTCTGGGTATTTCACCGGAGGAATTGCTATTCTCTAGACAAGCAAGTTCCTTTTTCTCCATGTTTTGTGGCTCCTCTCTAGGTCTTCCTCCTTGCTTGTGTGCTGGGAACAGTCCCATGCCCATTGCGAGTTGTGGCATGGGGGGACAGGTCCCTCCTGCACAGAGAAGCATTTTCAGCCTCAGTGTGCTCAGTCCCCAGCTGAAGGCTGGCTTCTGCTGCCCAAAGTCCTCCTGATGAATTTTATGCATAAAATTTGGGCTGGACTGTTGGAGAGTGTACGTTGGCCCTCGGTTAGGTTGACGTGTTGATGGGATGTGTGGGAGTGCTTGCTCACCGCTGCCAAATCCTTTACTTTGAGTGTGCCCAATCTATTTCCATTACTTTTCCACCTTTAACGTTTCCTTCAGTTCACCCATATCAAATGGAGACTCTTGAGTTATTTCTCACCTCGAAGCATGTTGTGCTCTTGACAAGCATCGTCTGAGTTTTCACATCTGCTGTAAGCTGTGCCTTCTACAGAGGGACCCGCAGGGAATGAATACTTGTCTTTGGGGAAGGGCTTGTACAATGCTGAGAGAGAAGGCAACCACTGGAGAATGACAGGAAAATAAAATATGAAGCAGTCCTTTGTTCAGTGCCCACTGCATGTGCTGGGTGAGGCAGGGATCCCAAGGTGGGTTAGTGGAATTAAAGGCTGTGTCAGGCTGCATGCATCGCGGGCAGAAGCAAGGCATCTCCTGTTCGGTGCCGTGCTTTGCAGGCGACTGCCCGGCGGTGCAGGGGTGCGCTCTGCAGCACGGGTGCAGGGTGCCTGCACGGGCTGAGCTGGAGAAGCGTCCGATGGAGGGGGAAGCCCAGCAGCGGGGAGCTGGGAAGCCCAAGGCGGGGGGTTGGCTGTGCAATCGCAGTCTGCATGTCATGGGGGAGTAGCCAAGGCGTGAAGTCGCTACTCCAGAAGCACCCCGGCCCGCCTTCTCCCGACAGAGCCCTGCTATAAACATGAATTATTCTGTAAAACGAATGCCTGTCCCTCACGTCTCTGCCCTTCTGCGTGCATTTTTTGCCGCAAACAGCCCTCGATCGGCGCGCGTCGGCTGCAAACGTCCGCGGTGATCGGGCTCCGCGCGTTTCTGGGCACGGGTTTGGAGCGGCGCTGGCGGCTGCTCCCACCGGCGCCGAGCGGCTCTTTGGTCGGCCGGGACGAAGCCCGCGGCTCGGATGCCGTGGAATCCCCAGGTGTCGGGGGAGGAGAGGTCTCCGCAGCGTCTGGAAGGCGGCAGCTCCCGTCCCAAGGAGCAAACCCCTGCCCAAGGAGCAGCGTTCGGCCGCCAGCCCGGGCGCTGTGCCGCGCGGCGGTGTCCGTGGCAAACCAGCGTACCCCAGCCTGGCCCCTCGGGTAGCCAAAACCCCACCGCTCACGGCCACGGCACCGACATTCAGATTTTATCCGCAGCTGGCACTCCTGTGCAGAGAGCTGCTACAACAAGGGGCGTAATTTCCCAGTGCCTAGCACCTTAGGAGACACTGGAGGTGCTGGCTGTACTCTGCGAACCCCTCTGCGAGGCTGTTGTCCTCTGGAGGCTTCCCAAAGGATGGAGGAGCATCCCGGGGAAGCCGACCCGGCCCACAGTATCGGTCGTGCGCCCAGTTGGCTCAAACGCGTTTACCAGTTAAACCAGGAGATGTTCCAGGAGATCAGGTCCTGGGAAAGAGCCCGAGGGGGTTCAGCCCTGGGGTGGGCTGGTGGGTGCAGGAAAGCCTCACCAAAGCGGTCAGGGGGCAAGCTTGGGGCTTGCAGAGCCGTGTGCTTTTGGTGGCTGTGGGAGCGGGATTAATGTCTTTACAGGGGAAAACTGGGGGGTGAAGGATATACAGCAGGGTCGGCTCGACAGGAGAGGCAGTGCATTAATTTCCTCAGAATAAAGAAGAGAATTATCTATGCTGGATTTCTGTCCACAACAGAAATGGATTCTCTTGTATTTTCAGCTTCACACATGGGTCCAATCGAATACTCATTGAAGCCAAGAGGAATATTTCTATTGACTTCAATAGACTTTAGATCAGGGCCATAATGAGGCATAACATGATGTGACCAGATTCAACACTATGTAGGTCACCGACTTAGAAGAGAACTGCTTGCCGCTAATAGCAGATAATTCCCAAGCCCGTGCTGATGTTTTCCCATTGCTTTCAGCTAGAGTTAAACTGAGTATCTGTTCTTGTATTCATTTCTGAATAAAATGAAGATACTCCGGGCTTAGGTAGAAACTGGGCAAACTTAGAGTAATACATGTATTCATGACACGCAGTGCAGTTAAGTCTGGATCAGGGGATAAGCACAGGCAGATAAAATTTGGATAGCTAATGAACCTGCAAAAATTACTTGAAAAAAGTTGGAAAAATTGCACAAAGTTGAAGCCTGATTGCCTTCTGTTTCAGGGAGTTGCGGTGAAGGAGTTCTTTGAACTGACCAAGATTGAGGCATAAGTCCTTTTGAAAATCTTCAAGATTTAGTTTTATCTGGCCTTATATTTGC